CAGAGTTAGATGAGGCAGTCTGCTGGATTGGTCCAGAAACCTGACTCCTATTCTGTTAGAGATTTCTGTCTCTAGGATAACAAGTACTGGGCACTGCAAAACACCATCCATGTGAACAATGGAGATGAGCTCTTCCACGTGTTTTTGATGTTTTTTCGTCATTAAGATTTTTCTATTCATCAATGTAAACTGTACAGTAAGTCTCCCAGCTGAGCAGTACATCCTCTATACTGATCAGTATACTCTTAAAATATTCTGAAAATTGAACTTCAATTCATTAAAGAGAAACTAACATTTATTCATTCACTTATCCTATACCTGAGATTTCCTTGGTTTTCCGTTTGAACTTTCAAGTACCTTTGTTTCAGCTTACACTTATGCAGACTGTCTGATCTTAGTAGAAGCAACTTCTTCCCTGTTCCAAAGTACACTCACAGGGAAAGAAAAAGAACTATCAAACTTGCAGGCCAGCAGCCAGTGTGACAAGAAAAGTGCAATCACTTTCAGTTTTGTTTCTGAGACTAAAACCACAAGCTTGCAAAAACTAAGTTTAAAGACTACATGTTTTCTCTTCCCCCCCATCCTTAAAATTAAGGTTTTGCCTAAAAGATTTAGGTCATTCAATTGCAACCATGATCTAAAGCATCAAAGCGACTTTTAAATCACAGCTCTGCATGCACAGAAAACTGAAGTCATTAAGTATCAGTAATACCATGGTACTGCAACCTAACACCATCCTGCACATGGCCTTGAATAAATCAGTCCAACTCTGCTATGCTGCTACCACGTACCATCTCAGCCCCATTCCCTTCCCCATGGCTAGTTCAGTGCTACACACAGGTCTGTTCTGTATGGAGAAAAGGAGAGGAGGAGGCGAGAACAGTTTGTTCCTTCTCCCTTGAAAAATGCTGTTGCAAAGCAGAGATGCCAGGTATGCAGGATCAGCCCTAGGAAGCCAGCAGTTGTAGGACTGCATGCACAGGGGCAGAAAGTCCCATGAACTGAGGATGATAAGGGAAGGAAAGCAAAGAAGAGGTCTGGCTAATTCCAGTACCACCTCTTCCTCTTTTTGTTTAACACTCTGGATCACCCTTGGAGGAAGATTCCCCTCACCAGTCTCCGACAAAAGCCTCTTAACCCCATAACAGGCTGTGAGATGCAATATGCCTTCTATGAGTAACGCAGCCACTTTAGTTACATCACAAGTCACAATTCAGCCGTTCCTTAATTTGGCAATACTCACTTGTCGTTTAGGAATATCCACCTCAAAGTGCTTAAATTTGACATGAATACATTTTTACTGAGTCCAGGATGGCAGCTGTATTAGTTGCACAGCCAAGTGCCAAAGTCCATCTGCTTATCTCTATTCTAAAGAGACAGCATCAACATCATAAAATTTCTGTAAGACTACTATTTTTTTAACTTGTTTGGAATTTTAAAATGATGTGGCAAATAAAAACACTTGATAAGGTGATTACTCGTTTCCATCTATTATAATTTCTTTCACTAATTAAAAAACTAAAGCAATGCTAACTTTGCCCTTAAAATGACAGATTTTTGAGCTAAGAAAACTCAAGAAGACAGTTCTCAAATTTTACTAAATAGCTGCATAAAAGTGTTACATATTTTCATTTTAGTAAGTACTGAGCTAAACAGAACAGAAGGCATTATTAGCAACTTAGAAACTACAAAACTAAAATATTCTCACACGAGTGTAAACTTCCATGGTACGCCTGCATCTCAAATGCAGAGAAAGGTATGACCCTCTTCCCCATTCAAAAGCAGAACAGCTAAATGGAAAAGATCCAGAAATAGGTAATACGCTTAAACAGGAATGTGGAGGACTACGACCCCTGAAGTAAACTAGACTTTGGCTCTTCGCTTTACAAGAAAATGCAACCAAAGACTGAATGTAGTAGAAATTTAAAGTCACAAGTAGCATAGGGAAGATGAGTACTACGGTTTTCACAACCCAAGAGCCAGAAATTAACGATTATCTGAAGGGAGGCTTGACAAAAAACACAAGCGCACCCTCCCAAACAAAAGCAGACGTTTCGGTTCTTCATACAAGATTTAGTTGCCGTGGGGAGAAACTTACTTCCAAATATCATAGACGCTAACCGGTTATTCAGATTTCAACGGCGATTAGCTCTTAGAAGACAGATTCATCAAGAGTTGTTAAGCAGAAACGTATTCCCTTAACTCAGGAAGTCCCCGAAACTGCCGGA